TGATAGATAGTTATTAATCTTAGTGATGATCAAAAAGAAAGTGTTAAGGTAGATTGTAGAAGAACAATGTTCAGATTAGTGAAAAACTGATATATAGTCTTGACAGGTAGTAAAAACTAGCTGTTGATGTATTATTGAAGCCAATTGTAGGATAAAGTAATACAGAGGCATTCTTACTATAGCAAATTGCACATAGATACTCAATAAGCAACTGGGTAAGTCTCTACTTGTAATTTAGGTACTAGGGAGAATAACTCTTCAAAAAATTTTAATAGTTTAGATAATTATTACAAAGCCTAATAAAGTGAAAACAGAACTGCTGAAATTTTTTTTTAAAAAAAAAAAAGATCTTAAGTGAGATCATATAATTAGATTTAGCTAATTTTAGATTTATTAGAAATAACTTAATGAAAGAATCATTTTGGTAGTTAAATTATCCAAATTGGACCAATAGATTAAAAGTTATTAATTTTTAAAGATTTTATTATTTTTTATTAATAAAATTTTTAATAATTTTAATTTTTCTCTAATTGCAGATTTCTTCTAAATACAGATCAAAGTACTAGTCCCAACAACATACACTTAGAGAGAGTTAACTATATAGAGTATCATATTACAGAATTGCTAATAAGATGGGCCTCTAGAAAAGTCAACAGTAATAAGGCTAAAATAAGAATAGTTTAAATCAGGCTCAACAAAATATATTCTTTCTAATCAAGAACTTTTAGAAGAAAGAAAGCTTAAAATGAGAAATTTAGATATACAAATCTTATAGCAAGCAAGTATGCTAGGTTTTATATTAGAGAAAGATAATTTTACTAGAGGTTGGAATCTCAAACTAGTGAAAGTAACAAATAATTTTGAAATTGCAAAAGTTTTAGAAAAGTATCAAATTGGTTATGAAAAGTTGAATGTGAACAAGCTAGAGTTGTAGATATTATCTCAGTTTTTATTAGAAGATAGCAAAACTTTTTGCATATAAAAACAAATAAGGCTAGCACAGAACCTTGAACTAAAAGATAGAAAAGCAAAATGGTTTACAAATTAGAAAAAGAAATGATCAGAGATGAAGTAACAAGAGAAGTTAAACCAATATACAAGCTGGAGATAGAGAATCCAAACACACTCAAATTAGTAATCGGGAAAGTACAAAAAAATAAAAGAGCAAAAAAAATGGGTATTGTGGAAAAACAAAAACCTGATACAAGTTAAAATTAAAAAAATAAAAAAAAAACACAAAAAAATATATAGAAGTAGAGAGCTATATAAAAAAAAAAAACTTACAACCAAGTATAGGAGAGAAGATCTTGAAATATATTAAAAATTAGACATCAATTCTAGTTAAGCACAAAGAATTAAGAGACATATCAAGTTTTGTACAAAAAGCTAAAAATAATCTGCAATTAATTTTTGGTATACAGTTTTTAGAAAATATAGTTAAAGAGAATACAAAAAGGACACTTTTAATATTAAAAGAGATACAGAATATGAAAAGAAAAGAGAGGATAGAAATAGGTTGTTTGAGATGTGAAATTTGCTTAATAAATGAAGTAGTAGTAAATAGAATAGTTAGAAAAAAGTTAATAGAAATCTTAGATTATAATGAAAAGCCAGATATTTTAGTATTCTATACAAATAACTTACTTGGAACTTCAGAAATTATAGCAGAAAAACTAATAGGTTGTGAGATAATACAAGTTTCAAAAAAAGGTCAAATTGTATAACAAATAGCACTTGCAACTGAGAAGTGGTTCTTTTTGACTAGAGCAGAGTTGATAGCAATTTTGGCTGCTTTACTTGTAACACCAAGTAGAAAAAAAGTTGAGATAAGAACTAATAGTAGCACCACTATTTTTGCAATTAATAAATGATTAAAGATAGACAAAGTTAAACAGTGATTAAAAATTAAGAACAGTGATCTAATAGCTATAATAGTAAAACAAAACAACTCAAGCTATAGTTAATAAAAATTAAAGATCACTTAGGAGATTTCTACAATAACTTGGCAGGTCTTAAGGCCAAGAAAGGTGCAAGTACTATAGAAGTTTTAACTTTTATAGTATTAAATACAAGAGAATTCAAACTAAAATATAAGTAGAAGAATGAAATTATTGAAAAAACCAATATGCTCTTTTGTCAAAATAAGTAAAAAAGTGTTAAACAGAGCAGAGTGGACTTTTGTACAAGGCAGTCAAAATTAAATGCACCAAGAAAGAAAGACTTTATAGTGTTAGCCAATTTTCTATAAAATCTTAAAAAGTGGAATAAAACAACAAGATCATATTTTCAAGTCAAACACAAAGCAGCTTTTCGAGCTTAAATATATAAACAATTTGCTACTAGTTATGAAAAAGCTAAACCAGAGAAAACCAAATACAGTATATACAGATCCAATATGTAAAGAAAAGGTAGAAATTATAGAACACCTAATAAGCTATGAAGTTTCAATAGCTCTATTACAAGAAATAGAAGAATATATAGTAGAAAAGATCCTAATAAAAGTAAAGTTAATAGAGAATATATACAAAAAGAAAGAATGGATCCTAGCAATGAAGAAGAAAGAAAGCCTATTTGAAGAAGCTCAAAGAAGAAGATGATGAATTAGAGGCTTAATCTCAAAAGAAGACTTTGACAAGTTAAAACTACCTTTTGTCTCTAATAAATAAGCCAAGCAGTTTATAGTAAGGCTTTGAAAAAAACTAGCTGCAACAAGTTTATAAGAAGATATAGATTGCAAGATACAAGCTAGTACAAGACTAAAAAAAAGAAAATAGTATTATACAAAAGAAAAAAAGAAATGAACAGATAAAGAGAAAAAGGAAAAAAAGAAAAAAAGAAAATATAAAGAAATTTGTATCAACAGAGCCTCATAAAAAAAACAAGTAAAGTAAAAAAAGTTGAAAAAAGATGAAAAAATATACTTGAAATTACTAGAAGCGAGATTTTAAAGTGGATTAAAAGTGATTAATATGCAGAATAGTGGAAATTAAATTAGTAGTCTTAACAGGCTATAAGAACTATCCAAAGAAGTACTAATAAATTTAATTGCAAGGTAAGTTAGTACAGAGATAAAATCTTACTATAGCAGGTCGCACATAAATATTTTTTGAACAACTAGGTGAGCTAATATTTGTAATTTTAGATATTAAAAGAATTAGCCTTTTTGAAAAATTTTAATATTTTAAAATAGAATATTATAAAGCCTAATAAAATAGAGGCAAGACTGCCAAAATTAAAAAAAAAAAATTAGTAAAATATTTTTAAAGATATTTTAGTATTTATTAAACCAATTTAAAAGATTTAACTACTATTGAATATATCTTAACAAGCTTTTTAAGTTAAATAATAATTAACTTAGTATTAAAAAAAAGTTTTAAATACATGTATACTATATTTGCAAAATTTTAATTTTTATAAATAATTTGTATTATATTTATTGTAATTACTCACTAGTTAACCAATTAATATGTAATACAACAGGCCATAGACAAGTACCTATAAGGTAACCAGATAATACTGTATTAAACTTATATATATAGTATATATATTAAAAATAGTTCTTATATACTATTTGCCAACAGGTTTAGAGTTTATCACTTACTTGTAATATACAGTATATATAAGTAACTACTGTAGCAAGGCTGTAAAAAGTATATACAGTATATTCTCTAAATATGGTTTTGCTAATATCAATTTACAGTATATAAAGTTTGTTTTATATCTTACTTTATATTGTAGCTAACTATAATACTGTTGTTTTAAAATTTATTACAAGATGTTTTTATTATCTAAAAAGCATGTATATACAGTATAAATTTTACAATATAGTACGTACTGTATAAACCAAGAATAGCAATATTGTATATTTTTTTAATATTCGAAGCTTTTTTTACTTTTTATTATTATATACTGCGTTCTATTGTATTCTGTTTAAGTCTAAACATTTTTACTTAAATTATTTTAATAAAATTTTAAGTACATAATTACAGAATTACAATTTAGTCTTTTTATCAAAAATGTCGTAATAACACTAAAGAACGGTAACACAAGATACTACATTATCCCACGAAAAACTTTGTTAATCAGATCTGAAAATCGCAAAAAAACAGATTACCAACATATGCAGATAGGCCTATATCACTAGATGTGATAACGAGTAGTTACAAAATATGTAATTTCTGTTTTAACATTGGAATGAAAGGTATAAATAGATTAAACGGATCACCGAATAGACAATAAAATTTTTTTCTATGGCCACACACTAATGGATCTTTAACACGATAAAGTCAACAAGACCCTCTTTTCTTTTTTTTTTTATTTTACATTTTGCATATCCCCTGTGAAATCATGAGCGTTTTTACAAAGAACCCAATCCACCGTAGACCAGACAGATAAAACAATAACGATAGCAGTATGCATTGAACTACGCCTTATTGGTTAGCTCGATCAACTAGCGTAATCCATACAGATGGCTCGATTTTACAATTAATCATCTGTTTTTCATAACATAATAAATATATTAGTTGTAAATTTTATTGTATTTTTTTTTTAAGAACTATAAAAAAATATTATTTATATCGTAACGAATAAAATGTTGTAATTGAATATGCCGAGATGCTATTTGAATTGGTGTGGCACATAGCGATAGGCCGACCAAGATAAAAAAGAAAGTGCAAATATACAGAATCTCTCATTAGGAGGTAAGAAGTTGCAGACATTTGCAGATCGACACATACATTTAACGTTAACTCTATTACAGTAATATCCCCTTTTTTTTTATCACCCTGAAGTATTATTTTTATATCCCAGCCACCATTTTTTTTTCGCCCACTTTTTCAACCCCATAAAACCTTATATGCACCGTAATCGTTCAAAAACTCTTCTCTTTTCAAGACTTCCCTCCAAAATTTCTCCTGTTATAGACTTTCTTTTCCTTTTTAATCGTAAAATAGTGCATCAGGAGTCCAGGAGATACTGTGTACTTCAGTAAATTGAATAATATGCACGAATCTCGGAGACCGTTTATTTCGCGTTCTCTGCCTGGCGAACATACCTCTCCAAAAAGTCTACCAGCCTCTCTACCTACAACTCCTGTAACATTTCAAATTCCAACTTCCTCTTTGACGGTTCCTGCCGCACAGCAAGCAACTGGTATAGAAGGTAAACTTATAAAACCGAGAAATCGTCGAAGTCTTTCTACTTCTTCGAGTCAAAGTTTACTTAAGAAAAGCTTATCAAAACCACGGGCTTTATCGAATCTTTATCCTTCAAATTTACTCTCGACTATTGAGGGAGATGCAAATAACAGGCCGTCCTTTGAAGACTTCGATTTTTCGACTCCTGGCATTCTCCCTACCGGAACTAACTCTGGTTCAAATTCTAGTAGTAGTTCCTCTAATTCTCCATATTTGACTTCTTTTCCTTTTTATCAAAGAGAAAGACATCACTCTTTATTTGTACTATCTCATCCACAACAGCAACAACAGCAAAGACCGTCAGTGTCACTGCAACAACAAAATTTGTTAAATGTTCCTTCAACACAATCAGGTACTACTGTGTCTTCTACATCATCTCAACAAAAATTGCCTCATCAACCGATCCAACGTCGTCAGAGTGGTGCTAGCTCTCAACTTAAACGACTATTAAGTTTAAAGTCGGAAAGTTATCCTTCAAATACCCCTTCCTTATATTCTGACTCTGAGACTGACTCTTTGGAAACTGATTCTGATGCCTATGTCACCAATGATGAACATGTTCTTTCTTCCTCTATAAAACGAAAACCTTCATTTCAAAAATATAGATTTTTCCCTGATTTATCAATTGATGCTGAACAAAATCGTCTTAGTAATTTGCATATTATTGATGATGGTTCTCCAGAGTTTACTTTTCCAAAAGTTAAACGAAAACTTTTAAAAGATCTGGAAGAGGCAAAAAGTCGTGCTGATAAAAGAATTATGGTGATTTTAGATAACTGGTATAAGTCTCACCAATATCAAGAACTTTTAAGTGAATTTTTATATGATGGTTGGAGTGATGATGATGATATACATTCTCCAATCAAAATTCAAAAAAAGAGTAGTCAGAGAACATTGAATAAAGAGAAGGCCAGTCCGGTCATTAGTGATACAGATGATGAGGCCTCTCACCTAGATAAGTTATCACTTGAAATTAAATCAATGAAGAAAGATGTACTTGCAAAAGATAAAATTACACATAAAATGGAATCTATGTCATTATATGGTAATACAAAACCAAAAAACATTCTAAAAAAGAGTAAAAACTTTAAAAGAAGATTGATTCATTCGAATAGTTGGCCTTCTTCAATTTTAAGTAAGCTATAAATTTACATGAGTGGTGTTGTGTGGAGCGATGGTGACAATTTGATCTTTTTTCTTATGTGTGAAAATCAAAAAAAAAAAAAAGGGAATCAACGACATTAATATATTCATTCATTTTTACGTGTCTTTAGCTTCATCTCATACGCTCTTGTTAACACGTATTGATCGTATTGCTCGACGTATTTTAAAGACTGCTGTTCATGATTTATTACATTTCAACGTTGCTGTTGAAATAATGAAAGAACTTCAGGAATTAATGGAATCACAAAGGAAAATGGCTGTTGGTAATGCTGATGCTGAAGATTTATTAACAAAATTAGTTTACGTTTTCGCTGACGTTACAAGAGCTGTTGAAGCTGTGGTAATTATATCCCTCGATTTTATTAATTTTGATAAAATTATTCTACTATTATATTATCTAAATTAATTTGAATTTAGAATTATCCTTTGGCTGAAACACATCAAGACTTTTCAGGTGATAGTGGAATAAATGATATGTTGACAACAGGTTCAGAGTGGTCTTCTTCACCATTACCATCGCCATTGCTTCCAATGACTCCATCATCATATTCTCCACCACGAATATTACACGAAAGGCGCAAGTCTTCCTTGGAGATCGATGGAAATAATAAATCTAGCGCGCTTTTATCTCCATCACTTGCGTATTCGTCTCCATTGGCTCGCCATGTTACTATGCCTCAATTACCGTCAACTCCTAAAATTACTCTTGAACAACGTCGTGCTTCTGCGAATGAAGCGATATTCGAAAGCCCAATAATGTACATTCCCCCCTCTCGACCAAGTATGGATGACAACCTTCTCACTTGGAACAATTTAACAAAGAAGCAAGTAGATCAGATGCTTCATGAGGAAATGAATAGGGAAATTGATTTTAGCATAAAGCTGAAGAAACAACAAGAAGATGTAGATCAAGACTCCAGGAAAAAAACAAAAAAAGTATCTATTATCTATTATCTAAGCATAGAATCTCTTTTTATTATTATCAACTGATTAATATCAATTATTGCAGCCGAAAACAATGATGAACTTTTTCAAATCAATAAAAAATGCGTTCAACAGCCCTACATCGTCGACTAGTGTGTCACCCATTGGATCCCCAACTCGATCAATTATTCTACCAAGTCCTATTCGTAACGCATATCTACCACGTCCTCCACCGTTGGAAAGCCATCGGTCTTTTTCTTTTGATTCACAGTCACAGACGCTACATGGTCGTAGTAATTCATTAATGTCATCAAAGAGTGATGTTGTTAGTGGTCAC